ACATGTCGGCTATATTTTCCTTTATGATCCCATTCTCGTCTCATGTCTACTCTATAAAATCCATGCGATCTTTAAACAAACTATAAAGTAGCTGAGTTGTAAGTTTCTAATAATGCTTATCTAAACTCAGACTCAAGCACCCTCAAATCTCCGGCGTCCAATCCCAGGACTCGGCTAAGAAAAGCTTCTTTGCCATGGAGCTGGCGTACATGGTACCCTCGTACCGCAGCCGCGGGTCGTTGGCCAGCGCCCTGGTGAATGCGAAGGCGCGGCCGGGCCTCTCCTCCTCGACCCGGCCGTCGCCGTTGGCCTCCTTGGTGGATGCCGCCCAGGACACGGCGGCCCTGTTCCTCGACCAGTCCGAGGGGGAGACGAAGACGGCGTCGGACGAGAGCATGGCGCGGATGTAGTCGACGATGGGCTCGATCCGGATGCGCAGGCCGCAGTTGGTGTGGTGCTTGTCGATCTGGTAGTTGGGGCACTGCTTGAGGGTGGAGAGGAGGTCCTCGATGTCCAGCATGGAGGCGTCGGGGAGGGAGTCGAGCGAGGCGGGGCTGAAGTCGACGAGGAAGGCGAGGTTCTTGGAGAGGAGGAACTTGAGCATCTGGCCCAGCTGGAAGGAGTCGCACGCCGCGCTGGAGTCGTACCCCAGCTTGCACTGGCGTTCGCGGGACGAGTATAGGTCTAGGAAGTGGCGCTGCACTGATGCGATGGTGTTTAGGATGCATTCTCTGCGATACTGTAGTTCGTCTTGGTTTGGTATGTTGGTCAGCTAGGAACAAGAGAATAATATATGAGCATTGTTTTTACATTCTAAGCCGTCGGACAAATTCCACCAGGATGCTCCGGCGTCCGCATCGGCTTCGGCGTCATTGAAGGTGTACCAGATCCTCGACCCTCGTAGAATAAGCTCCTTGGTCGAGGCTTGTAACACAGGCCTGTTTAGAAGCCACGATGCGAGGATCTTCTGGCGGAGCGTCTGTTCAACATCCGTCAACCGGCCAGCATCATCACGATATGGCCTGGTCCGGGTGTTGGGCCACTTGAACTTCAGCTCGTCCTTCAACCCGTGAGAAATCACGGGGGCGCAGTCGAAGCGATCTGCAGTTATGGCCAAGGTAGTCACGTAGGACATGGTTGCGTGAGTGGCTTTTGGTGATTTGCCATGAAGGATGAGGAGTAAGTCCTCAAAGATGGACTCACGCCCCGCCATCCTGGTTGCCTCGTCATCATCCGAGATTGGGATCCAGGGAAGCTCGCTCGCTTCAGCGTCTTTGGGCTCACGGTCCTGGGAGGCAATCCGAGCGTGCGCATCCGTGATGAGCTTCGACTCTTGAAAGTGAGGGTTGGAGAGAAGGTTGGCAAAGTATTTGGAGTGCTTCATCAGGGCATCGAGGCTGGCTCGATATGCTACCCTGACTTTTGCATGGAAGGCGGGCTGTGCCACCACCAGCGACTCGGGACGGCTGCTGGGACCTCTCTTCTTGGCGGCTGCTTGTGCTGCTTTGCGACACTTCTTGAGTGTTTCTGGGGATGTTTCAAAGGTCACGTCGAGAACGATGTCCCCTCGTGGGGCGACATCGACGAGTCTCGGATCCCCATCTTTGGCAGCAGGGCCTTCTGACACATCTGCTTCTGCGCCCATGCTACTGAGAGTGTCATCAGCTCGGACATGGACATCGATACAAGGCGAGCCAGGAAACCTTTTTGTTGTCGGAAGAGCTGGTTAGACTTTTGCCGTGCTCACTCTAGAGCTACCTAAGCAGGTGAAGCAGGACATCGGTGACTTGATGTTATCAGACCTATCAGAATAGTGCGTTGATCCACTTCTACCATACTTCCTCCCTACCCCCCAATATTCGGCAGACATAGACTCTGAAACCTTGTAGCTAGTGGGTAAGGCATTTTTAGTTGGGGTTTAAGATTTGCAACAACTTGCACCTGTCTGCCGTCCTCTACCCGGACGTATCGGTGCCACCCGTGACGGCCGGATTGATGCATTTTACTCTACAAGGTCCGCTGTCGGAGCCTAGGAGCCCGTAGATACCTACCTAAAACTACAGGCCCAAGGAGGTGGATGCTGCTGGACGGTGGAGGGGTTCTGTGCCGCCCCTGTAACCCCATTCAGAGAGCTGAATGTACGTCACCTGCACAGTGGATCCAGCGCGGAAATAGTTGTCCTACCAGCCCTGAGAGCTCAACAGAGCCTAGGCCAGGGCCAACCAGTAGAACCTCGCTTTAAGTGCCAGCTCCTCCTCTGTCCATCATCCCCAACTGCCTCCTCATCGACTTTCTGCCAACAAAATCCCCGCGGACCGCACTCGGATAGGAACCCGACTCCTGTCCAGAACCGACAGCGCCTTTCTAAACTACCGTAACTCTTTGATTGAGGGAAGCAGGCTGGTGCTTGGCTGTGGTGTAACTCCCAGGCCGTCCGCTAGTGCCAAAGCCTCCCGTTCTTCTCCTTTCTGCTACATGCCTGGAATCCTTAGCCACAAGCCGGTCGCCAACATCATTTGGCTGAAGGTGATGCTAGAGAGCTCAAATCTTGGGCCGCTGGGATAACAAAGTCCCAATGGCTTCTTTGGCGCACCGAGCGCACCGGGTAGAGTGCCGTCTCTACGACACCTTCACCAGCACCACCGCACGAGCCTCTATCCGATCACGAACCCTGAACAACTTTTCGGCTTGTAGACGGGCCTCTGCGCTGATATCAAGTCATGGAATTGGAAGCGCACGATACTCAATGCTGGGTAGCGAATCGATACGACATACAGCCTGCCGAGGTTTACAATCCTCCGCACCATCAGAGCGTTGTCAGCTCTCCAAGAACTCTCACGGAGCAATTAGACTGAAGAGTAACGGGGAATCGCGCCGCGGATTCCATACCTATTTTGTTACCCATCTCCCTTCGTCGTCGCTTCATCCCGACTCCTCAAGAATTGGAGGCCCTGGTCACAAACTACCCCGCGATGCCTCAATGCCTCATACGCAGAGGCCTGGCTCGTCGCCTGCGATTGCCCCGCCATATATGCCCAGTCGAGATACAACGGTAGTTAGGATACCATTGCGTCGTGCGAAGCATCATCTTGGGACAGCTAGCTCTCGGGGTAGTCGGCCTTACAATGAGGATACCGACCAGGCTGGAACTATTGACATCCCTGCTTTCGCTAAGAGAGCGCCGCAAAGTGTCAGACAAAAGCCCGGGGAGGCAAAACCTGCCGACAGCATTCTTGGTGACCCTCAGGTTTTCTACTTTGCCGTGTTCGACGGGCACGGCGGCACCCAGTGCTCCCACTTCTTGCGGGATGAATTGCATGGATACATCGAGCAGGCCTCGGTTGAATTCGGCCTCCAGAGCAGTCTTAGGAAAAGGAAACCTGGACGAGAAAATCGCTCTCTTCCTGCTGAGGGCCAACCTCTTACTACAAAGGAAGCATTAGACGCTGTGGAAATGAAGGGCCCCGAAGATGCCAGACGACAGATGAAGATCCCTGGTCGTGACCAGGAGGGCCACACGCATTTTCCACGCCACGGAAAATCCATGGAGGGTGCCTCATCCCCTCCACTTGATGTTCGGGATTCAGTAAAGGCACTCAAATTGCAGCGAGATTTGGTGGCGGAATATAAGCGTACGATTGGCGGATATTTTCGACGGTTTAGCCCCGAGTATTTCAATCTAGCTGCTGACGCTGACGAGACTGCTGCTGTGCCCATCGAGACCGTTCTCTCGTATGCGTTTCTCAGAGCCGATCTTGACTTCGTGGCAGCACAGGCACAGAAGCCAGATCCCGACGATCTCCGAGTGAGCGATGTTCCCTTGAACGATGACGAGATACTCGGATCCCCTCATGCCACCCCATCGGGCCATGGAATTGGCGGAAACACGCGTTTTAAGGGTGGCTCGACGGCATCAATTGCCCTCATCTCAACCTCCACTGCAGCTCCGTTCTGGCATCCCGGCGCCCACTCGACGCTCATGGTGGCCCATGTTGGTGACACGAGGGTGCTTCTCTGCGACACCTCCACTGGCCTTCCTCATCCATTGACATCAGACCACCACCCCGGCACACCCTTGGAAAACCGTCGGCTCCGCCGATACTCCTCCATGGTATCCAACGATAGTTTCGGAGAGGAGCGTATTGCCGGCCTCGCCAACAGCCGTGCCTTTGGCGATATGAAGAGCAAGCGCATTGGCGTCTCTGCCGAGCCCGAAATCACTCGCGCCGAGATGGCACCGGCGCAGTACTCGTTCCTGGTGCTTGTCAGCGACGGTGTCTCTGGCACCCTGAGCGACCAGGAAATCGTAGACGTCATAAAGGAGGCCAGAACGCCGGAGCAAGGAGCTCAAAGTGTCGTCGACTATGCCACCGAGGTGTCTCATGACGGCGACAATGCTACGTGTCAGGTTATTCGCCTTGGCGGCTGGGAGCGACGCTCAGAAGGCGGAGTGGGAAGCTTGGGGACAAAGGAGATTCGCGACATTAGGCGGGCTGAGGCGAGCGATCCGAGACGAGGACGGCGATGATAAATCCCCTTTTTTTTTTTGTCCCTTTTTACGTTACGAGCGGAATTGCATAATAGAAGAGAACAGCCTCGTCAGCTTCCGTCATATTAGGCTAGCAAGGCCAGATGGGACAGCTTGAGACGTTGCCCCTGAGATTCCCTTGCGCCTGCATTTCTGTGTGTATTCTTGGTTATATAGCATGGCATTTGGAGTTTTGCACTTTCTCCCTTCTCGCATAACTCGGGACAGTAGCTCTGTTATGGTTTTGGGCGGTTCACGGGTAAGGATGTCGCTCGTGGACTGTCAATTCTCATGTATATCTTTATCTTTTTGTAATTTTTCTGTATGTGCAGCTGACTACTGGCATGAAGACAATAACATAAAGCATGGATCCCCCTCTTCTCTCGAAACCACCCCTCCTAATAGACCTTGGTCACCGTGATTTGCATCGTAAACACCCACCACTCTAAGCGAACTACAGCAGTTTGGCGGCTCAATGGCGCTGGTATTGCCCATGATACTGGCCCCAGTTGGATCCGGATTGTGGCTGACCACTCGCAGCATAGTAATCCTGAGCAGAGCCGTAACCCTGCTGAGGCGGGGGAGGGCCAGGAGGTGGTGCGTGGCCGTATCCAGAGTTGTACATTCCAGACTGTGGAGGGGGAGCGTTGTAGCCGCCGGACTGATACTGGGCGTTCTGCCCGTAGTTGAAAGAAGGACCTGGCGGTGCCGAAGCGTGGGACTGGTAGTTATGGGTCGGGTCGCCGTCCCTGCCCTCCAGCGCATCGAGGTCGCGGGTGCGGACTTGGCTCCAGAGGGAGCCGGCAACCTTGCCGTGGCCGCCGAGCCCTTCGAAGGCGCCGTGGGAGTGGGAGTGGCCGCCGGCCCTGGAGCCATGCTGGCTCTGCTCCAGGACGTGGTTCTTACCTTTCTTGACAGACTCGGAGGAGAGGATGGACTCGAGCTGGTGGCGCTTTGGGTGCTCGTCAGCCCACTTCTTGACCGTCGCGAACATGTCTCGGTGAAGCTGGATATTGTCGTCGCGAAGGCCAGGATGGTGGAAGGCTCGCAGGATGTCATTGGCAACTTCGTCGACAGGCACTCCCGGATTCTCCCATGCATAGAGGATACGGCTGTGAATGTGAGAGTCAGTAAATACTGTTACGGGTAGTGAATCTTGTGGCAAGATGGGATTCTTACGGAACGGCGTATTGAAGAATGGTGACAGCAACACGACCGCCACATGAGTTCAGAATGTTGGTGAAGTGGTCCTTGGCCAGCATACTGTGTGTGGGATCAGAGCAATGGGGGTTTTCCCAGGGCTCGAGCTGAGACCTGGCACTGGCGCTGATCACACCGGACGAGCCATCCTTCAGTGCTTTGGAGACAGCCTTGATGATGGGGCGGATAAAGGGAGCGAGGAGGCCCATGATGAATGCCGTTAGGGTTTCGCTGATGTGTTCGAGAAGACTCTCGAGGCCTGGAACTTTGGCAATACCTCGGCTGATGGCCTTCACAATCTTGTCGCGGAATTGCAAAATGGGGTAGATTCTTCCGGCAGTCTTGACGGGATCGAAGTCGGGACTCATTCCTGGAATCTGGTTTGGGTTGGTATGAGCGGCCGCAGGGGCATCAGCACGAGCCCGGTTCTCGCGCTCCTGTGCCTCCGATTGAGCCTTGAGATCTCTCGCCTGAGCGGCGAAACCATCGCCGACACCAGGAAGCTTGCCAACCAGAGAGATGAAATCACCACCTCCTGAGCCTCCAAGCCCAAACAGACCTCGTGAACTTTCCTCTCCTCGCTTGCCGCTAGTATTGTTCTCAGCATTCTTGAGCGCAATATCGACCTCTTCGACCTCAGACTGGGTAAAATGATCGGTTGCTTCGCCGATCACACTGTGAAGGAAGTCCACAGCTCCAAACTAGTAACGGTGAGTATATGATATTTCATGTTGAGCAAGACATATGAACTCACGGTGCCAGTGACAAGAGGATAAACTCTCTTGCCACGGACGTTGATCTCAGCAGCAGTTCCACAATGGGGGAAAACATTGCGGTATCCTAGCTCTCGCAATGCGAGCTCGCAGTAATTGCTGTGGGCACCAAAGTCCTCCAGACAATGCAGTGCCTGTCCGAGACATCGCAGGGCTTCACACAGGTCGTCCTCGTTACCATGTCTTTGCGAACCGCTCGTATAGAGACGCCCATAGTGAATACTTCGGGCAAAACTGTACCGAATATAACCAGAGCTGGTGGGCCACTGTCCAGTCTCGTTGGCAATGTAGTTCTTCATTCCGGTACGCATGTCAATTTCAGTCTCGGCCTTCATCACAGGCCCACGGAGGCGGGGATCGAATGTTCGGGCGTCCACTCCCTCTCCATATCCAAGGGGATTGTCAATGTGCTCTTCAGCACGGTATACTCCAAGCCTCTCACTTGTGACCTCAAACTCCTCTGTGGCATAGCCAAATGCCATGAATGAAAGAACCCAGACCAGGATACGAATCGTCTCCGCATTGACGGATTTCAGAGTACCAATGTCCAATGCCTGGGAGTAGTCGCGAAGGAAGTTACCAAAGTAAACACGCTTGATGTTCATGGAAGACCACTTTTTGCCATGCAAGAAAGCGATGGTGGCCAGCATATCTTCAATATCTGTATAGATGTCGCGATATCAGCACCCAAATATACAATTTATTTTCACTTCCACTATCGAAGCATCACAAGTCGTGGTTTTCAATAACACGGGGACCGTAAAAGCGGCTAAGATAGGAATCTTGCTGCCGAGCAAATGATAGACATTAACGAGCGCTTACCTCCATGACGCCAATTGTGACCTTCAACCTAGTAGCAATGAGGGGAACGTCAGCTGCCGACGAGTCGCAATGCAGGAGTCGCCAGAGAGATAAAAGAGTTTCATACTTGTGCAATTGACGGAATGTTTCCGGCTCCAAAGGCAGCAGCTCGGCCTGGGAGCACGAGCAAGCAAATCGCCAGGGCCAGGAGCAGGCTGCTACCCCGCGACCAACCGAACGAGCCCATGACGCAAAGCAATGGCAATCAGAATTGTGTACGGTAGAGAGAGATGTTGGAGGGCAAGCCGCTCTAGTTGTGATGTTTAGGAGACAAGGTGAGAGAAAGAGTAGAGAGGTGAGATAAAGACAGACAGACTCGCATTGGCTGATTATCGTGTGGCGCGGTAAAACCACGAGGGTTAGCTGATGACCGTCCCAATTCTACATTAGATCCTGATTTCCAGCAGCGCATAACCACTGATGCGACTACGTCAGGCGTGTTGCTGCCGAATGTGGCGACATCCGGCGGGGTTACAGTGGCCCTGCGCCGGCCCTGCGCCACAGCCAGCCCTAGACAAGCTGACAAGTCATCCCCAGCCACAGTTGACATGCGGCCAACGGGGAGAAATGAGAATCCAACGGGATAGAAAATTCAGCAGTATAAAATAAATCAAAGTAACAATACATACAATGCTGTATTGTTTCCATGCATGTACTTCATAATCTGACAACACCGGCCGTAGCCTTGAAAATAAGCCACTTTATGGTTGGGTTTCTCAAATTCAATGTCACCCAGTTGGCGGCTGCTTGCATGATTGGCCATATGGAGACGTAAGATTCGAGTGATTGAAATTGCACTGCATTGAGGCTAACTCCTCTCCTACTACTCTGTGTGGTTGATTTTTGTCCCAATCTCCCATCTTGGCGTTGATGTCGGTTTCCTCGTCATGTCGTTTATGTTCCGAGGCAGCCGCACGAATTTAGACACATGATTGGCTGGAAGGTTTGGTCAAGTGTCAAAGGAAATGATGCGCTCTTGCAGTGCAGATTTTGGTCGATCAACAACTATCGATGCCGAAAGAAATATTATTAGAAGATGTAATTCGAGGACGCAATGGTCTGTCGCTCAATACTCTATGTGGCAGCCTAGCACCTCGGGAGGTTTTCCCTCGGTCGTTGCGTATTGTCGAACCCAACTCAGCCAGTTGGCATTTCATAAGGTTAGGCACCGAAATTAAGGGACCTAGCTCGGAAGCTTGAGCTCATGGCATTGATGCCTGGGCCGCGGCACGTAAAGTACCTACCTACAACCAGGAAATCTATACTCCAGAAACGCTGGGATGGGGTATCTTATCAATCTTGCTCCAGGCTGCATGAGATATGTGATCGGATCTGATCGTGACGGAAAATAATCCCATTCTCAGGCCACGTCCAGCTTCCCAGGAAGCATTTATAGTGGTGTCATCCGGAGATCCAGGTCGCCGTGGTGGGGCCCATCGCCGTTGGAGGTTCCCCCTGGCCACTGATTCAGCCAGTAAGGTGCAGATCTGTGGCGAACCCTGCCTAGACAATCTGGAGCCCATTTAATTTATTTTCTGCCTCCTATTATCAATCGACATTCATTTCACCGTAGGTTCTTAATTGGGGCAATCTGTCGGACGCTTTTTATTATTTGATTCTCGTTCCTTCCCGCTCCTCTGTGTTATAACAGCTCGACCACAGGCCAACCATCACCTATTTTGTCCAGCGAGATTCTACCAAGTGCATCGGCCTGGTCGCGCTGTTGCCTCCCTTTGATCTCGAATCCTGACCCTACCCGCGCGATCCGGACACCTTAATTTGAGCCCCCAGACCGCAACCCAACCATGCCTGGCCGAACACTCCCAACCTTCACTCGTGCTGAGGTTGAATCGCACAACTCAGCTAAATCTTGCTACGTGACCATCGGGTCCAAGGTCTACGATTTGACCGAGTTTGCCGACGACCACCCTGGCGGTGCCGAGCTTGTCCACGAGTATGCCGGCAAAGATGTTGAAGAGATCCTCAAGGATCCCACCTCTCACACCCATTCCGAAGCCGCGTATGACGTTCTAGACGAAGTCCTTGTGGGTTTCGTCGTCTCTGGGAAGACCAATGGAGCTGCTACGAACGGCCATGCTGGCACAAATGGCAAGGCGGCCGGTGAGACCGTCTACGTTCACCCTCGAACCGGCATGTCCTGCGAGGAGGATCTGAGCAAAGACACCAATTTTGGTGACGACTATAAAAAGCACAAGTTTCTTGATCTGAGCCGACCACTGTTGCCTCAGATGTGGTTCGGTGGCTTCAGTAAGGAATTCTACCTCGACCAGGTTCATCGTCCACGCCACTACAAGGGTGGAAAATCTGCCCCTCTCTTTGGCAATTTTCTCGAGCCTCTGTCCTTGACACCCTGGTGGGTTATCCCTACGCTTTGGCTACCAAACGTTGCCTATGGTACCTTCATTGCCAGTCACGGCTTGCAACCTCTTACGTTGGCTTTTTGCTGGGTTTCTGGCGTTTGCCTTTGGACTTTGATCGAATATCTCATGCATCGATTCCTCTTCCACCTTGACTAGTAGGTCTCCCCCCTTTATTTTTTATTTTCCTCGAGCAAGGCTAATCAGATTCCAAAGCTACCTGCCAGATAATCGAGCTGCGCTAACCTTACACTTTCTTCTCCATGGCATCCACCACTATCTCCCCATGGACAAGTATCGGCTGGTCATGCCCCCTACCTTGTTTGTAGTGCTTGCGCTGCCATTCTGGAAATTGGCCCATACCCTCTTCTTTTTCAACTGGTACGTGGGCACCGCAGTATACTGCGGCGGTGTCTTCGGTTATATTTGCTACGACATGACGCACTACTTTCTTCATCACCAAAATCTGCCTCTCTGGTATAAGGAGCTCAAGAAATACCATCTTCAGCACCATTACTTTGAATACGACCTTGGCTTCGGCGTTACTAGCAGGTTCTGGGATGATATTTTTGGCACCCCATTGGGCGCTGAGCCTAAGCCTAAGACCAAATAAGAAGTCATATATCATCACTAGTCTTGATTGCCTGCAAGACGAACGGCCACGACATTCACACCGGTGTATTTAGAAATTTTACAACCTTTAATATCTCTTAAGGTACGCATGATGAGCTGGAGTCACTGTTAGGAGTTGGAGTTTAGATTACCTCAGAGCCTTGCATTGGGAGTTCTGAGTTTGGTTACTATGGAGGCTGTTGCCAGTTTTATCAAATAGAAAAGGTGGACATGAGTATAGGAGGCGAGAGGAGACTTTGAATATCGGCGGATGTAATAATGTAATGCAACAAAAGGGCATGGTGCTCTCCTAATGACGATTAATAGGTAGTTTCAATCGAGACAGGGACAAGTACCTTGGTCAATGGGTCTCGCAACCCAATCACTCCTATTCTCCCTTATTCACTTGAAAGATCTTTAATTAAGGACCTCATTGGCGCATGCCTGTCCCTGTTCGGGAATCAATAATCTGAGAATTACCATTGATGAACATGTTCCAATTCTCGTATTTGAATCGCACTTACCACGAGCACGACTCAGTGCAGCATGTCTCCCATGTCGGTGGAGTCACGTGAGCGTGCTGCCTGGAGCCGCTAGCGAAAACATTGAAATTCCCCACAACACTTGCCGTGCCCACCTGGCTTCTCTCTCACACATCACCTGCTATTTTTGCTACACCACATCGTCATCACGCAATTAACAAGGGTTTCAAGGGAGACTTCATTCTTTGCCTTTGAAAACTGGCTTTGTTCGCCGACAAGTTGACACCGTCATTAGGACATCATGGCTAGCTTGGATGTAGAAGCATTGCTTGATGCTACTGCTGAGCAAAAGAGCCCAGCCACTCAATCTGACGACCAGGCGAAGCAGGAATCATCGAATCGGAATGGTCGAGACCAGGATCGAGATCGAGGTCGGAATCGTGATGATAGCCGCACGCGTTTTAGAGACAGAGATCATGACAGACGCCGTCGGGACCGGCGGGACCTGAGCCCAACTCGAAGCAGACGAGATTCGCCTGACGAAGGCACTCCCCGAAGCGACACCGGTAGCCACAAGAGTAGGCGGAGAAGCAGAAGCCGAGATGATGATCGACGTCACTCACGCCGTCACAGAGACGGTGATTACTACCGAGGCGGTCGAGGCCGCTCTCGTTCCCGATCCCGTTCACCTTATGGTCGCTACCGCCCTCGTGATAACCGCGATCGCCGAGAACGTCGCGATCGCAACGACCGTGACAGACCTGATGATCGCACCAAGACGGAGGACCGCCAGCGTGATGGAACCCCTCAACCATCCAAGGACGAACAGGACTCCCGTACTGTGTTTGTTCAGCAGCTTGCAGCCCGCCTCCGTACTCGTGAGCTAAAAGAATTTTTCGAGAAAGTTGGCCCGGTCAACGAAGCGCAGATTGTTAAAGACCGAGTGAGCCTTCGCTCCAAGGGGTACGTTTATTTCATGGTCCTGCTCCAAAATCCGGTTTGCTAATATTTTTTTTATAGAGTCGGCTACGTTGAATTTAAAAATGAAGAGTCTGTTGCCCAGGCACTGCAGCTCACGGGCCAAAAGCTCCTAGGTATTCCCATCATCGTCCAGGTTACCGAGGCTGAGAAGAATCGTCAAGCCCGAAACTCGGAGTCTGGAGGCGGACACCCTAACTCGATCCCATTCCACCGGCTTTATGTGGGCAATATTCACTTCAACGTTACCGAGCAGGACCTACAGGCTGTATTCGAACCCTTCGGAGAGCTTGAATTCGCGCAGCTCCAGAAGGACGAAAATAACCGCAGCCGTGGCTATGGCTTCGTCCAGTACGTAATCCCCTATCACTATTCAAGCTTTGAGTCGTCTGCTAATACACCACTTAGGTTTCGCGATGCTGGCCAAGCCCGAGAAGCCCTGGAGAAAATGAATGGCTTTGATCTAGCAGGTCGTCCTATTCGTGTTGGCCTTGGGAACGATAAGTTTACCCCTGAAAGTACAGCGAACTTGTTACAGAAGTTTTCAGGCCGCGAGAACAATGGCAACTTCCAAGGCTCGGCCTTTTCCGGTGCTGGAGGTCGAGGCTCCCAGAACAATGGATTCGACCGTGCTGGAGGCCGCGACACTGAGAAGGCAGGCGGTGCTAGCGCCCTCGACGACACCGATGTCGCTGGAGTTAACTTTAGCAACTACAGTCGCGATGCATTAATGAGAAAACTTGCCAGAACCGACGATAGCGCCACCAATGGCAACGAAGAGCGTCATACGCTGAAACCGAAGGCAGAGGTGAAGCCATTACCCGTTAACGTAAACAAAGCCAGCCGATGCGTGGTTCTACATAATGTGTTTGACCCGGAAGAGTGTGTTTATGTCCATCAATCAAGCCCTTCAGCAAAGAACTACGATACTAATGCATGGTGCAGGGAGACAGGTGAAAACTGGGTGAAAGATCTAGAAGATGATGTGCGACAGGAAGCGGAAAACAGCTATGGACATGTTGTCCACATATCAGTCGACCCGAACTCGAAGGGCGACATCTACCTGAAGTTCGACAAAGTTCAGGGCGGTGAAAATGCCATCAAGGGTCTCAACGGCAGATATTTTGGTGGGCGAAGGATCGACGCGTCGCCTGTTGTAGATGCAGTCTACAGCAGTTTGTTCTCCCGCTCCCGGGCATTCTGAGGCTAATTATGTCTGGCTATCAATTTGCGACTTTCTAGGACTCGTGCAGGTTAGCAAGAGTCCTCGGCATGTCCTCAGTATTTGAGCCCCTCTCGCTAAGACTACATACCGCAGAATACCATCGCGCTATGGCTTCTCGGGACGACACTTCACATTCGGCTATCGCAGCTAAATAAGCATCGCTCTCACCTACGAATTGACGCTTTAGACCGGACTTTGCACTTGTCTTGCCGAACGGCAGTCAGTGCAGCAGATTGAACCTGCGCGCCTTGCCTCGACTATCGAATCTGAGACAACGACCACCCTGGGAACCGTAATTAGAACTCAGACGCAAACAGTTTTACGGTTTGACCCGTTGCACCTGTCTACTACTGATTCTTGTATGCTTAGGAATCTCTAATCTGATCGAGGACCGTCTTCTTTCTTCCCCTTCCTTTTCTGTCCTTTTCGTTTTCATAGTTCCCGGTGTTGGGATAGTATTTGCAGTTCAATCCCTTGGCGTAAGGTACTTTTCTGGGACCTATCCCATAGCTAAAAGATGAAAAATGTAACCTTAAAGTTTTAACCACTCTCTCACTATTTGCTTGGTGGACGCACCGTGAACTATGCCCTCAATTCCACTGTTGATTTTCTTCTCACATTGTGAGTTACCCCCGGCATGACTCTGTCAGGTCCGCCCGCTTGGCGCCGGGTCAGGTGTCACATTCTGGATTGTTCTAGAGATTCACTGCTGTCCGGCTGTTATGCAGGTAGCCGGACGTCGATGCAGGCTTCCGCTCGGGGGCAAATAACCAGGTAGACAATTGTGCTCAGCTCTGCGGTGCTCTTATGGTGAGAAATGCGAGCCGATCCGTCTGCCTCGCCACAGATGCTGTTCATTTGTTGGCCATTCGCTGGCCCAACGGCAATAAGCAGTCGGCCGTCTCACTTTCTCCTCAAGGCGAAATTGGTGCCTGGCAGGCCGCCCAGCCAGGCAGTGGTGGTTGCTGCACACCGCAGAGGGCCGCGTTTTGTGCAACTTGAGTTCGCGCAACAGTTCGACACGGCCCCGTGGGTGGTGAACGGACATCCCTACTTTTTCTTCTGAATTCTTCTCTCCCCTCCTTGTCTCTTTCTTCACTCCTATTCTAGGCTTTCCCTTGCTCTCGCTTTCCTCGCACTAGGGGAGTATTGCAAGTTTGTAGCCAAGTACCCGTCCTCCTTTGGGAACTGTCAACAAGTGTCGCGTCTATATTTTGCCTCCAGGCTAGCAAGAAATCTCAGGTCACTTCTCACCATTCTCTCACTTTTCGGAGAAGGGTGTGCTAGATCGTGCCCTGCCCATTCTCTCAGTTCTTTTCTCACCTTGCTCTCGCTTTCTCACCCACATTCTTCTCCTTACTTCTTTTTCACTCTCTTGTTCTTCCACCACAACTTTTCCCTCCTTATTCCATCTCGGGATATAATCTTCATAATATTTCAAGACATAGGTTTTTGTATGCTGGTTGCGAACGACCAGACTGTCTTCTCATTCTGATCTTCGGGTCTAGTCTACTCGCTCTGTGTAGGCACGCATCGCTTCATCCTGGGCAGTTAAGTCATTTCTATTATCCTGGGAACCCGCGCGATAGACGGTGCCGATCACGAATCGTTTATTCAGCTTTTTGAAGTATGTGAGCTTCCTACCCCGTTGTTCTTTCCACCATTCACTTCCCCTTCCGCGAAGTCTTATTGTCGTTTGGACAATAGTGTATTCTTTCAACATGTACAATCTAACCCACCGCTTGTTGTTTTGTTTTCATTTTTCATGATCGTAGCACGATCGACTTAGTCGAAGTCATTTTCTGTTTGCCCTGATTTCACCCACTAATCACCATGTGCAGAGACCAAAGAGTCTCAATCTCAGGAGATCGGCGAACTCGATCGGTAGCAAGTCTAAAGGTTTAACTCTGTCTGTACCAACAGGCGAAACAAGAAATTGAAATTTCTCGAAAAGTGTCTTCTTTGACCTACCATGAACGGCAACCAGGTCTACTCCCCAAGGAGCTCCACGGATCAGTCCGGTGGCGGGACTCTGGGAACTCGTTCGACAAAAACCGACTACGATTCCGAGCGATCTAATCTGGGCCCGATGCTTTCTGTCGACTTCTCTGCTCCCTTGGCTGGGGATCAGCGATCGGAGAGGATCAAACAGATGTCAAAGAATCATGTATGTGACGAGACGGCCACTTGGTGGGAGAAGTCATCGGAAGCAAGACTAACTATTTGTTTTAAAACAGCCCTCCATTGAAAGATCTCGGGGCATCCAGGAGGTTTTGGTTAATGTGCAGACATCTTTGCGACGCATGCCCGGAGTCTCAACCGGCGAATCGAAAGAGATTAATGACCAGCTCAAGGAGGCTGGACAGATCATCAGTCAAGATACTAATCAACTCGTGCGCGACCTGATGAGCTCATCTCTGGAGCTCCAGGAAAATAATCAGGCTGTTATCAGAATGAGCATCGAGTCCAATCTCCTCAAGGCTACCGTTGACCAGAAGGATCAGGAGATCAACCACCTCCGCCAACAACTTGCCGAAGCGCATGAGAGACGCGAAGAAACAGATGTTTACGTCAAGCAGATAATGGAAAATCTTAATAACGTAACTGACGAGGCGAAGACTCTGAAGGAGTCCACCCAGGACTGCGACCCTTCTCACGAAGGATGCGAAAAGCTGATCAAGGTAACTCAACAACTCGAGGCATGTTTACCTCCTGCTAACGAGGCTCAATCCCCATCACAGGGTCTTGAAGAAACCGTCAAGCATCTGGAGGAACAGGTGAACAACCGGCGATCCCTTTGGGTGATGAAGCACCCCAGCCCGGATTCTCTCGCTCGCGCCATTGAAACTTTAGCTGAGGCGGTGCCTGAGAAGGATAAGGATGCCATTGCCAGGAGCTTCAAGTCGCTCCGCATGAAGAATTCCAAGGAGAATCTCCTCGCCACCAGCGATCCGATTCCTGCCGCGAGCCAAGAGCCTCAGCAGAAGTACCGCAACTTCTCTGCCATGAGCCGGGCACCGTCTGCCTTTCAACCGATCGAGCGCGCTTCTTCTGTTATGCCAACCAAGTTCTCACCATTACAGGCTGGTCCGCCACGAGCACCCACCGCCAACCAACATCGTAGCGGTGCTCATACCCCTTGGTACCATACTAACGGAGGCAGTTTACCTCGTCATGTCAACTCTCCGCTTGCGAGTGCACCACCAGCCATGGGCGGTCACCGGAATGGCGGTGGCCGCCGGGGCAGCCAGCTTCAGCACCGAAATCAACATCAAACTAATGCCCCGGAGTTTTACCCAACTTCCATCTTTTCGCCCGCTGTGAGTAGTCCGCCGAGGAGGCTGATGACACCCCTGGACGATGTGAACCAGGACCTCTGCTATCCTAGGTATCATCTTGCAAGTCCAATCCGACTGACAAAGGGCGCCGAGCCCCGTGTTTTCCAGGACCCCTTCCATGCGAATAATGCAAACAATAACAGCTCTGCGCTCGTGGGCCGCAACGGCCGGCACACACCGTCGCTGATCCACATGACTGAGCGCACCGTCCTCGAGTGGTCAAGGCAGATGTCCGGGTTCTATTCAACCATCCGCACCTTTGTGGACAAGCACGCGGGCTGCCCGCTCTCACAGCACCCGACCTCTCTGCAAGACACGGCCATCTGGCCTGTCCTCCTGCGCACATACCTCCCTCTTTCCCAGGACGAGGCCCAGGCTTACCTCGACTTCCACCTCCGAGACGGCACCTCGAAGCTTTGCCTCGTGACCCGGGTCATTGTCGATTATGTTGTCAACATTGTTTGGGTTGCTAGTGCCTGGAAGGGCAGCGAGGATGAGTCTTCGCGCCTTTTGGATAACTTGGTCAACGACCTTACAAATACCCAAGGTAGGTTTTCCCTCCTATTCATATCCTCACATCCTTACCGAAAGTTTTTTGAAAGTGAACATGCTAACGTTTCAATTTCCTCCGCTTAGGCCAGGCATCCTCCGTCCGCCAGCCCCTCCTGGACCGCCAGGCCACCCTCATCTGCGCCATCATGGACAAGCAGGAGCCGGGATCGACCTTCTACAAGTCCAAGATCGAGCAGATCGCCGGCTCGCTGCTCACGAACCTGCAGCCGCTCCTCAACGAGTACACCTCGGCCTACGACGCCTTCCGGGACCTCGTCGCCGTCGCGGAGAACGCGTGGGAGCTGTCCTCGCGGATCCTCATCAGCCGGCTGACGTTCGACTTCCGCTTCCCCGAGATCGGCAGCCGCTTCTCGAGCCAGAGCATGACGCCCATCTGGCCCGTGCAGGTCGACCCGACCGAGCTGCAGGCCAAGCACTGGCGCGTGGCCCTCGTCACCACGCCCGTCATCACCTGCCGCAACGACACGGGGACCAACATCTCTGCGCACTCGGTCGCGCATGCGGATGTCATTTGCATGCAGTGATTTTGCCCGCAAGTCCAGGCCCGTGGGCAAGAAGTGTCGTGGTTTTGCTGTCGCCAGTTCTCGGGTTGGTAAGGGGGAAAGCCACATCAGGGTTACAAGATTACAACAGAACAGAGAGCCACATAATGGGCTCGATTATGATGAGTTACGGCGAGGACAGAATGAATCTACGAGTTCGTCCACCCTCCATTTCTTTTCTTTTGATGATAGCTAACATGTCTTAAGGTTAGTTTACAGATTGATGCATTAGATGGGAAGCAAGTACTGGTGTGGTCGCCTTGCTTCCCTTCAGAGGAGAGATATTCAGAGAATACGCCCGCTTTCCTTTCAACGTTCTTTTTTTTTATTATCTGGTTGATGACTGTTGCTTTTTGGTTTTTTTTTTTTTCTTCTCGCTGCTTCTTAGAGTCTATACTTGCGTCGCCTAGATTCCGAAGCGAGTTCGACTCAGGGGAAGTTGATGGACGATGAAAATACTGGGATGGGTTATACTTTCTGCGATTTACAAAGAGGGGCGAAAAAAAGAGAACAGGAACTAGGATACTTTCGTGGCTGAGAAAGGGGGACAAGGGGGCTTCTTCTGGTCTCTGTAAGCCCTTTCACCTTTGCTTGGCGTTTTATTTTTTTTCTGGACGGTACAGTCAAAAGGAAAGGGGTCGGATTTTTTGCTTCCCGCTAGTCAGGTCCTGACATCGAAGAGTATTCTTATGCTACAGCTGGGGGTTTTTTATAGGGCGGGCATTAGTCACGAGATTCAACAAAGACAAGTTTTGCGCATGGAAAAAGTCTATTGCTCTATGAAAACTGTGTGCTACTCCGTGGATATTGGTCCTTCCGAGTGCTGTGTCTTCCCAACCTGTTTGTAATAGCATCTCTACCGTAAACTCCAGCCGGGACAATGAAAGCCTCTTGGCTTGTTGTCCTCTTTGTATTTTCAGATTGCTCTGATTCCAATCTACCAAGGCCAAAAAAAAAATAGGTGATAACAACACAAGAACAAGAAAAGAAGAAGAGAAAGGAAATGTGTTCAGTCTTGAATGATACCACGTTCAAACGAGGAATTCTTCACAAGGGTGGGGTGGAAGCCCGGTCAATCTTGCGCACCACAGCTCCAAGAACAGCCTTGAGAATCTGGGGTGCGGTGAGGTCTCCCCTAGCCCCCTTTGCGCCGCCGGGGTTGTACGAGCAGGTGTCCACCATGTCGCGGACCCCCTGCTTGACGAGGTCGTCGTCGAGCTCCCTGAGGGACTTGCTGGCGGAGGCCTCGCTGCCGACCTGGAAGAACTGGATGCCGGCCTGGTACAGGGGCGCGTCCATGTCGTCGAGCTTCCGGGCGGCCTGGACGATGACGCTCTCCGGGTCGTCAGTGGGCACGCCGTCGGTGATGACGATGACGTTGATGGGCTTGACGGACTCCGGGTCCCCGGAGGCGTCGAGCATGGCGAGGTAGGGCTTCAGGATGCTCCTGAGGCGGTGGCCCGTGGGGGTGCATCCGGAGGGGCGGGTCCCGTTGAAGATCTTGGTGACGGTGTCCGGGTTGGAGATGTTGTAGTAGCCGCCGTCGGCCTTGCCCTCGCTGGCGTCTCCCGTGTTCTTGGACCTGTGGTTGAGGAAGTAGAGGTCGATGCCGTCCTTGTCACGCTTGGTGCAGATGGGGACGATGTTCTTGAGGACCTGCCGGACCTGCTCCCACCTCGAGCCCGTCATGGAGTACGAGTCGTCGATGAGGAAGATTGTATCGAAGGAGGTGAGGAAAGCATACGGGTCATCGTCATTGGTGACCATGTCCCTGCTGATCCTGCTCGCCCTGCTTGAGGCTACAGAAGGGGCGCGAGGAACGTTGAGAGCAGAAGATGCCTGAGCGACAGGTGCAGCATTTTGGGAGTATGCTGGAGGCGGATCTGAAGCTATTGTAGATCAAAGTTAGGAACCAGCGGGTTGAGAGAGTAATTCAGACAAGTACTTACGAGTATCCTTGGAATCCTGAGAATCCTGGAAGAAGGGGTTGTTGGAGCTCTTCTTCGAGAACTTTCCCTTGATGGATCCGAAAAACGACATCTTGGGGGTAGGTTGCGGGATTCTGAATGGATTATTGCTCTGGTATCGACACTCGTAATGTGGTGTTGCTGGGGGAGTAAACACTTGGTAGTGGTATTGCGAGGGAGAATAGCTGGGGCAGACGGAGGCCATCGTGGAAATTTATGGAAGGCAGAGATGGACTTAAACTTTGGCTAAGTTAGTAGGCCTTTGTTTGGTGGCTTTGTGCTAATAAAGAGTTCTTATACGGCCCGTGATTCAGATACGGGTGTTTGCAGGTGTGTTCTGATTCTTTTCTTTTGATCCGCTTGCTTTGTTTGCATCTACCCGGCCGTGGAGCGGTCCTTTATATCATCTCATTAATATGCTTAGATCATGTATGGACTTGCCAAAGGAGACTGTTATAGAGCCTCGTGAGGCTCAGTAAACAAGGCACTCCTTGAGGAGTGTTTCATGCCTCATTGACTTGCCTTAGGCTTTATCGCACAGCCTTGTGGATGGATGAACCATTGGAGGTCCAGCAGGGGCTTGTGTGTGGCCGTGCAGCGCGCTAAGCCCTGTAGGTTTCCGCCGTCTTTGTGTGGTACTTGCCACACCACGCAATTTGGCGCTAGCGGACAGGTACCTGTTCATCATAGTTCCCAAGGCTGTCTTGGCGGCTGACTGCCATTGATCAGATAGATCTGTCTGGTGTTAATTGCTCCCAACACGCTCCGCCGACTTTGTGACCTCTGACTGTGGTGATTGTCAGGTGTCATAACTAATTTTTTTATGCTTCGCCCGGCACAATTGTAGACAGTGTTGGTGGCCAAAAAGCCCCCATACCGCTCACCGAAGGGCATGGCACGCCCGGCACGGACTGCAGCACGTGGATGCATAGATGGTGTCCTGACATCGTCATCTACATAGACTTTTTGAAGAGAGTTTCAAGGATTCTAGAACAACGCCAGCCTGGCTTCTTCGTCCACAACGGGGGAGTTCCTTGACGCTGGGTCCAGAAAGTCGCGTGGTGTCAGGGTCCAAGTCACCAGTCCGCGGATGCATACATCTGATATCGAACTTGAACATCCATGCTACGGAACGCTGCCTCGCCTGGCAATACGAAGTTGGGATACTCTCCGTTTGTTTCGGCCGTGCGCCGGGGCGATGTCCTCGTTTACGTGCGACACCAGAGATAAGCAGGCTCACGTATGCAGGTAAGCCAATTGAGAACTTGCCATCCCTCGACGCGGGGGCGATAGTCTAGGCTTCCAGGAAATCAGGAGACTGTTAGAGTGTGCATGTTGGTGGTTCTGCCGGTCGAGTCATGTAGGGGGCATCATTCTGAGGCGCATACATTTGTGTATGTGTAAACACGCGCAACCATCATGCTGCCGGAGGCAACGGGCTGGAAGCATCGGGGTATGAATGCTGCCATCGTGTTATGCAATAGTAGGCTTGACCCAGACAAACGTTTGATCGAATCACCAGACTGTATCCATGGCCTTGCCCGTTTGGGAGTAGGTGATGGGCGACTGGGCCGGGCCATCCCGGAGCGTGGTCCTTTAAAGGGAGGGTTTTCCATTGAGCAAGGATCTGTCTCCAAGATATTTGATGGAGGGAGGATGGCCAAGTTCTTATACCTTAACGACCGGGCTGTGCAATCCCTTGGGCATCAAAGCCAGACACCAGGTTGGAGGGTATACGGTACGTGGGTTGCAGGCAGAGTCTGGAGAAGATCGAAGGAGCAGAGGCAGAAGCAGGCAATTTCAAGGCAGACAAGCAGTGTAACAGCAGATTGGCTCAGCAGGGAAAGGGGCCGGGCGAGATGGAGCCAGTCCCCGGAACTTGACCGCGGCCCACAGCCATGGCTCCAGCTGCTTTAAATGATTGGGCCCTAGATTCGAAGTAAATGGCTGCCCGGCGTCATTCCAGCGCCGGAAACTTTGCTATTGAGGGTGAGAGAATTAAGAAGAAGAAAAAAGGCTCAAGCGAGACCAGCCTTGCCCCTGACGAGTGAGATTACCAGCATGTACGCTCTGACTTATGAGGGCCCAACAATGGCTGAAGCTACTGCTGAGCTGACCGACTATGGCGATCAGGGCCCCGTTTCAGTCGGTGATGAGGCGCATAACTAGCGGCGGGAGCCATTTCGCTGTGTAAGTAGAGAGCAGGTCTTGATCATGTACCTGAGCACAGCATAGTGAAACATTGCAAGCGGGAGCGGCACGCCGATAGATGCCCAACTGCTGGGCATGTAGATGGACAAGTGAAGCTGCTGTAGATCCCTGGACCATGGCAGGTATTGTTTACTATCAACAGCATCAGAGGCCGCCAAACAGGAACGTTGCTTTTGTCAGCCACACCGTGGCTTGCATGTTACGAGCTTCTGGTTCCGGAGTCGCTCGAATATCGTGTTTCAATTCATGCCTAATGCTAACACTATTGAACGAATGGCTGGCTCCTATTCAGTTTTCAATGCACGGAAAAGTATAGCGGGTAGTATCAGGGACATGCAGGTACAGACGATCCGTACTGGGAACCTGCATGCCGTTCATCGGCCATCCTGGTACAGAGACGCCCGACGGCAGTGTAGCAGCGAGAATTCCTCGCAGACAGTCCCTAGGACAGCCACTTCTCGTTTCTACAGAGATTCCCTCCAGAGACACACGACGGGCCCATCGAGCCCAATCGAGGTGATGCGAGCGGCGATGGGGCCGGGCAGGCCTGGATGCATGGGGGGGTCACACCCTGCATTGCCATTGCATATAAATTATCATCGAGCCAAGCAGGCTTCCCGTTTTGGGTAGCTCTGATGTAGCTCACCCTCATCCCCCAGACAGACGTCTCAAACGCTGTGCGTGTGCACCAAAGCAAGCCACGGAGCTGCCGACACTCGACGTCGTCGTCGTTTGGACCCTGGTCCGTGCCGGAATCCCGAGCTGAGTTGATAGTCACGAATTGTGCGAGGATCCTTTGGACAGCATCCCGCCCTCTGGTTTTGTCCTAGTAGCAGACAGGGACCCAGCACCACCTCACTTGTTTGCTCTCGTGCATGCGAGGTAGAGCTACCTCGCGAGAAGCTGTAAGATGGCCACTGCTGCTACTGTTGCAGTCGCCCGCCGAGTCCAGAGTACTTCTGGTCCGGCGGTAGGGCCCTGTGCAGGGCTGCAGCTCGCAATCCTGCTACCTGAGCTGTACGTGTCTTTACTTTTTGTGTTGTTCTGGGCCTCGATCTGGCTGACGTCGCTGCTGTGCGTGTCTGCCATTCGACGGAATCTGGATGCGCCCCAGGGTTAATTGGCTCTGGCCATCTCCTAATCTCACGAATACTTGCCTGAAAAGCCTCTCGGGATCTTGTACCCAGCAATGTACCTGGGCTGTAGCTCGATGACCTAGCTCCAGACCCAGTCTTCCCCATTGTACGTACTTCCTCAGTAGGGCCTCAGAGGATGGCCATGTTTAAATATTCCATGTCCCCTCCACCAACCCAACCCAGCCCAACTCCATCCAGATAAAAACCTCCTTGCCCGTTGGCCTTTTGCCCTCCACTCTTCTTTGCATCTGCCCTCCCCCGTCCTTCCCCATAGCCTGCCCGCTGGTGAATGAGACACTCGCCGGCCCAGACCTTATACCAAGCTACTATACGTCTACCACAACCCACCCTCTGTCGTCATGGCGTTCAGCGGACGCAAATTCTCCATCAACCGCCATACTGGCGTCCCCAAGCCTGTCGTTCGACGGGGCAGCTTCACTGCTGAGCCTGGTCTGAATGGTGAGTTTCCAGCTCTGGATTGCCTCCCTGCATCTGCACTTGCATCATAGTTGCGCCCACCTGGTCGCACAGCTCTGGGGTGGCGCCTGCCGCGAAAAAAAAAAAAATCACCATTTCGCTGGGCTCTGCGACAACGATTCAAGACATTTTCAAATCAACTCGACTTGACTTCAATCGCAAGCAAATGCCCAGTTGAGACACCTTCACCGACTTCTTCAATCCCTTGCCCCCCCACCAACTCTGACGTCCCCCTCCTCTTTCCGCCCCCCACCAAATCCTGCCTATGCAGCACGGATCTATCTACCTAAGCATGCAAGCCACTGAAGCAAGCGCTGACTGACGGAATTCGGCACCTACAGAAATCCAGTCCAAGGTTCATCGACAGTTCCGCAATGCCCACGAGGGCCACATGCCCCACGCCGGTCTCGATGCCAGCCGATCCTCGACCGGTGTCGTCTGGTGCACGGAGCGCGCCTCCGAGTATGGCTTCCTCGAGGACCCCGACAGCTGGGCCAACCTGGGCCAGGGTGCCCCTGAGGTCGAAGATGAGATCGCCGGCTGCTTCGAGCGCCCCAAGACCATCGACATCTCCATGGCCGGCCGAGAGTACGGTCCCACCGCCGGTATCAAGCCCCTCCGAGAAGCTGTCGCCAACCTCTACAATGAGCACCATCGCCAGGGCAAGGACAGCTTATACACCTGGGAGAACGTGGCCATCGTCCCTGGTGGTCGCGCCGGTCTGATCCGTATCGCTGCTGTTCTGGGCAACTCGTACCTGAGTTTCTTCTTGCCCGACTACACTGCCTACAATGAAATGCTGAGTCTCTTCAAGAACGTAAGCTTGCTCTTTGCCCCCCAACTGAGTACGCGCTGCGTTTGATTGGATTCTAACCTAGCCCGCCTCTATAGTTTGCCGCCATTCCTGTGCCTCTCTCCGAGGAGGATGGCTACCATATCCACCCCGACAAGATCGCCGAAGAAATTGCCCGTGGTACTTCAGTCATCCTGACCTCCAACCCCCGTAACCCTACCGGCCGAGTCGTTGCCAATCCCGAACTGGCTGAGATCCAGGATATCTGCCGTGGTCGCGCCACCCTGATCAGCGATGAGTTCTACTCTGGTTACAACTACACAAGCAACTGCGATGGAACCACCATCTCCGCTGCTGAGAACGTCGAGGATGTCAACGAGGACGATGTTCTCATCATTGATGGTCTCACCAAGCGATTCCGTCTTCCTGGATGGAGAATCGCATGGATCGTTGGTCCCAAGGGTAAGTTCCAACAAAAGCATCATCTCTCAACGCCCGACATTATTTACAAGGATGAAATCGCTGATATAATGCTCCTTAGAATACATTGCCGCGTAGGTTACACCTAGTGTTCCCCATGATAGAACTTCCCCCTCTATTTACTAACATTCCCTTCAGTATCGGTTCCTGCGGTAGTTATCTGGATGGTGGTGCCGCCCATCCCTTCCAGGAGGCTGCTGTCCCCATGCTCAAGCCCGACCTCGTCACAAAGGAAATGATTGCTCTCCAGACTCACTTCCGCGTAATTAACCCAACCCCAGCAAGATCTATGCAGTTCATTGGCTAACAATCCAACAGTACAAGCGTGATCTCGTCGTCCGACGTCTCCGGGAGATGGGTTTCGTTATCAAATACGTCCCTGACTCCACTTTCTACCTCTGGCTGAACCTGGAGGGTCTCCCTGGCCCCATCTCTGACGGCCTGAACTTCTTCCAGGCATGCTTGGAAGAGAAGGTCATTGTCGTCCCTGGTATCTTCTTCGATCTCAACCCCTCACGCCGTCGTGATCTCTTCGACAGTCCCTGCCACCACTTCGTGCGTTTCTCGTACGGCCCCAGAATCGAGGTCCTCGAGATGGGACTTGACGCCATCGAGCGCGTTGTGAACAAGTATGCACTGAGAAATATAGTCCCACACGTTTATTGTTACTCCCAACTAACAGATATGCCCAGGCACCGCCGCGCCGCCTAAACCAAGGCACATTTAGGCCATACAAATGGATCTCTTTATTAGACTAAGGTCATCACGGAAACATTTTAGATTTGGCAATCTTTGGTTACGAATATTGGGCAGATCAACTCGCCACCGTGCGAAATACAACCGGTTGGATGGTATGCTAGAGTTAAAAGAGGGGATGTGGTATCCTGCCATGGGTGCCCAACCAGGCGGACCAGACCTTTTGAGTCTGGGGAATCTTAATGACCAATGAAGTTACATTAGAACGAGCTCAACGATGTTATTGCTTTATGGGGATTTGATGATCGTTTCTCCGCTATCTGGGTGGGATGTTGCAACCCACCTTTTCGTGAGATAAGACTTGACACGGTCAAGGAGATATTCTGTGAGGAGTCCATTTTTAACATGCCGGGTCTCGCGCCCTGTACGCTTACAACACCCACCGCACCCTGTCTTTGCGCCCCCATGCGAAACTGTCTCCATGCCTCCGATGCCGCTCCCGATGCACCTCGGAGGAAGATTCAATGTGGGGGGTGAACGAGGTGGCACGTCAACCCCGCAACAGGGCCAGCTGTTTGTGGCCTATTGAAGCCTCACGTGCGTGTCACGACTTGTGATATATGACAAGGACCCCCAAGGAGCCAGGGCAAGGGAAGATTGAACAGCACATCAGCACTAACTGCAAGGAGACGGCCTTATCAGATTGGACTCGCCGGATCGGGGGCACGGGCTCAGATTGTGTGGTGGACGCCGGGACTCAGGAGCACGCCTTCTGCTGAGTCTCCTCCGAGGCCGAAGCTCAGGAGCATGTTCCTCCTGCAGAAGTCAGCCGGGGACTCCCAGTGCGGGCGGTGCGGTGCGGACCGCGGCGGAAACATTAGGTAGGGCTTGCAATTGCGCAATGCCGAGAATTATGTTTCAATTTTCTTAAGATGAGACGATAAGATTCATATGTCGTGAATTCGGGGGCCAGTGTCGTGCTTGATCGATCTCATCATCCCATCTGGGGTTCTTCGGACCGGACCTCTTCCCCAGAGCTTCAAGCTCCACTTCCGTTCCCCAGAAAACAAACCTCCAACGGGTAAAAAAAAATCTACCAGGGAGGGGGGGAACAACAAAATTTCGACTTCATCCGAACCACACCAAACCCCGTCGCACGCGCCAATCGCACCCACCAGCAAACAAATCTTCAAACCATGGCGTCGTCACTCCTCCGCCTGCGCCCAGTACTTCGGCCCCTCCGCGCGACTCTGCTGCCTTCCTGGACAGCAGCCACCCGAGCCGCCCACAACGGCAAGCCCGCCGCGACGATGGACGTCAACGCGGCGCTGAGCTCGCCGGCGTCGCTGCCCGCCCCGGGCGAGGGGGAGCCCATCACGCTCGACGTGTCGGGGGACGGGACGACGGTGAAGCTGGACCAGATGGGCCCGCTCGTCGTCAACCACGACGGGAGCGTGGGCCGGCTGACCAACTGGGCCGAGATGACCAAGGCGGAGCAGAAGAACACGCTCAGGATCCTGGGCAGGCGGAATAAGCAGCGGCTTGAGGAGCTTCAGAAGAGGCGGCAGAGGGAGCAGGAGCAGGAGCAGGAGAAGGCGGGAGGGCAGGGCTCGAGCTCCACCTCGAATTAATAATCATGGCGCACGGCGGTGAAGTAATGTGTGTGAGTGAGGAGGTACATGATTGTATCAATAGAAATCAGAACATATATAAAGCATTTATCATTTATAAGCGTAAAATTGCAAATGGGATATCCCCTCCAGTCCCTCCAACCCCCATTCGTAGCTTAGTAGCCGTGTATATCCAATGTTGCCGCCCAACCCATCCTGGGTCCGTCAAGGACACTGGCAGAGCAGGCAATCAGGCTGCCTGCAGAGCCGGCCTTTTCGGACCGAAACAAATTCACAGTAAACAAACGCCACTTGCACGGAACGCCCCCCTCCATTATCTCTTTGCGGGATGCAGAATCATGGTCAGGGAACTCTACTTGAGAACAAGAGAGCTCAAGTTTTTGTGGCCGAATATCACCGCTCCTCTCTCGAGGCGTCGGGCTTTGACAGCTTGCTGGCGTGTTTTGTGAATTCCTTCCATAGGCTGGAGATGTCCTCGCCGCCTCCGTTCTTGTCAACAAGGAGGTTCTTTAACCACTTGTTCTCAGTCTCGAGCTGGGAAACCTTGCTCTCCAGAGCAGTGACCTTGTCGGTCATCTCCTTGGCTGATTTCTCAAGGGCCTGCTCTCTCTGCTTCTTCTTGATGCGGAATCGCGCGCTGGCGGCTGTGTTACGCCTTCGCTTGTCTTCCTCTGCGGCTACCCTCGAGGCCTCCTCAAGGGAAACAGGCCTGGTAGGGCCACTGGAGGCCTCATCCTTGCGCTTCTCCGTCGCCCGAGGAGCAGACGCATGCGAATATGAGCCGTGCTGAGCGGTGGGAACTTGGTTACGGTAAACCGAGCCGTGGTTGGGCTGGAGGGGTGGGAAATTGTGGGAACTCTCTGGGGCGAAGTTGTTCATGGATGGCGCCTGGTAGCTGCCGTTGAAATCCGCAAAGTTGAAGTCTCCTAAACAAAACGATATCAGCGGCTGCAACGCGATGGCTGGAATTGAAAGACGAGAATTGAACGGCAAGGTAGGCGGTGAATTGAGTAATAGACCATGATGGGGAATAAAAGCCTCCCCCACCGAGGCCAAGCGGGAAACCGTGTGCTGAACTTCATGTTCTCAACTGCCTTTCGGGCGATTAGGAGAGATCACGAGAAATTGCGCCATAGTACGCAATTTGTAAGCCCACTTTGATGCACCAGTGAGAGCGCAGATGCGGCCCCACCCAGGTACAACCACCAAAAGTGCCCAGAGGCGATGGTCCATGTGATTTGGCACACCGTTTGCCCGGATTGGCTTGCCGCTGGAAAAAGGGAGCAGGGTTGTGAAAGGAGCGTATCAAATGATGGGCAGGTCTCAAATCCTGCCTGTTTGTGGTAGTGGTTTTGCAGCCTTGCTAAGACCCTAGAGCCGATGGCGCAATAGAGGGGTGAAGCGAAATAGAGCCGTTTGCAAAATGCAACCAAACGTAAGGAAAAATCAAATAGGAAATTGGGAAATGCTTCGCAAATAAGAGAGGAATGAAAATGAAATGTCACGTACCGTGCACGAAATCAATGGAAGACATGTCGCCCGTGACTGAGGCAGAGGTTGGGTCCTCGGCAATCGAGGGAGCGGAGCTGCTCGCAACAGTGGTGTCGACCTTGACGGGAGGTGCTTGGAAGTCGGTTTGCTGGCCAGAATCGAAGTCGTAGAATTCGGTGTTGGTGAAGAGCGTGAGCTCCTCGCCGCCCATGCTGAAGTTGTCGTCGCCGTTGGACTCTTGAGGGCTGATGGTGTTGAGGTCCCGCAGGTACTGCGAGATGTTCACGCCCCTTCGGCCGCCGTTGTAGCTCGACATTGTGACTCGATCGGAAGAAAGAAATTGGATATTTCAGACGGCAGAATGGCGATTAGACTTTTGGCACTCGAAAGGCCAGCGGTGGTGGTTGTTGTTGTTGGTATGGGGAAGGATTTGATTGCAACCAATCCGATGTAATAATGAGCGACCGGCGTGCTTTCGGTGCGGTGCGGGCTGCTTGCAGTCCTCGACGCCGCAAAGCCGATGGTGTGTCTGGACTGGTTCCTCTGGATGCTGCGATGTCGTGGCCGCAGAACTGGTGGTAAAATCGGCGCTCGAATCAATCGTGGGTTCGCCGGGCGTGAAGTCGATGATGAAGGACAAGCGAGAGCAGGTTGGTTGGTCTCCTGCGGGTTTTCTTTAGACCAGTCGTGGCTGCTGCACCGGACGTGGATGGATGGAGAGGGCAATTAGTGAGCACAGTGGGGCGGCAGGTATGTTAGGTTGATATGGCCGAGGGACACCGAGAAAATGGCGCAGCTGCAGCTCCAGGATATAGTGGCAGTTTTGGGGGGCTTTAGGCGCTCGATGGTCGGGTCTGTCCCAGCGTAGCAGAGAACCCAGCGGGGTGGGTGGGGGTTCACCCAAGCCCTGCTGCTGCTGCATGCTGCAGGCTTTCATGGTTCTGTCCCAGAGCCTGCAACTGCCTTAGTCTGGCCCGCTAAGCGTCCGAATGTAAGCGAGATGCCGACGCTCATTGGCCACGCCTTGCTGGACTTGTTGCTATTTGTAATGGACATGCCTCAATCTGGTGGTTATCCCTACCACGTCGTAGCCTTTGCAACGCAAATTGTGTATGATCGGGAACCATTGACCTGAGCTATGCAGCCGCACGCATTCAGGGTCCACGCCAGTGCGACTCGGCACTGTACTGAATCATTACGCGATGCTTCTCTGACTGGCCATCTCCGTCCTCCTCGTGCATGTGGCAACGCTGTCAAAAATGGCTGCCTCCATTGTTGCATCCAAGTGCAACCAGGGCACGTCAAACCGGTGCCCATCCAACGGCGACGGGCCAGCCAGATTCCTCTCTCGTGGGTGCCCCGAAGCGTTCCAAGTCTTTCCGAAGCTAATCGGCACGAAAGCACACTACGGCGAAGGTCATTTTCGTCACCTTGTTGCGTCCGCTCAGGGCTGGCTCAGCTGGTTCCTTCGAATGTCGCCACTCACACGCACTAGGAAAAGTTTTTTTATACTAATTTGATCGCCCGCCCTTCTGGTACAGAACACACTCTTTCAGGCATTGTCCCGTCTCGCCAGTGACCTCTGATCACCAGATAAACCTTGCAGGGGCGACAAAGTAATGGTCCACATCTCCTGTTTCTTCAAACATGCAGCTGGACCCCTCAGGTGACATCAATATCACAGCGTGGCGGCAGTGTGCAGCTGTCGTATTGTGTGCTGGGGTGCATGGTGGGCTGCAAGTCGTTGACGTGACCGACCTCATGGGTGGTAATTGTGGGTCGCCACTGTGCACGCTGAACCTCCTTTAGCCCTTCCGCGTAGGAACGTACGAATGTGTACATCCGAACCGTGACGCCTCCGATTCGCGGTGCCATTCCAAATGGTCGCTTAGTCATCTTCTACCTACAACGGCTAACCCTTTTTGGGTTTTGATATGGAGCCTCAGTTTAACGGACAAAGACGCGTCTCAATGCAGTATTGATATTGATTTCCAGGCTGCGTCTGTCTGATGGTGTTGTCGCACTGGTCTGAAGTTGAATTAACCCAACCCCAGGGCACTGATCCTGTGATGAAACGACTGAAGCTCCAGGCTCACGAGTTTTATTTCTTTTTATGGTACACAGAACAGCAACATGGCACGGTTATCAGTGCCAAACACAGCGAGACTACCATCGTCTATCCGCGTTGATGCCTCAACGTCGGCTGTTGTGAAAAGCCTGAATAGACTGACGCGAGAATCTCTCATTTCACTTGCTCTAGATTGGTTAGATGAGTCTGCATTTCCAAACTCAACACCGTTTCTCCGAGCCAGGACGAGTGAGGAGGAGGAGGAGGAAGAAGACGACGATGAAGATTCCGAGGATATTTACCCTCCAGCACGTACAATCGAAGACTTGCGTCAGTTATATGAGGATATGCGCCAACAGAAAGGGTCCAAACGGGATGTCGTCAGCCGGATCTTGGAGGGGGATTGGCGTCACGGCTTAACGCTATATCAACTTGCAATGGCAGATTTCGCTTATCTTGATGAGCATCCTACGTCGCAAAAATGGAATGCCTATCAGATATTACCTCTTCAAAAGCCTAGCCACACTGAGGATGAGCAGCTTCTCAAGGTGGACAAAGAGAGCTTACAGGCACCTCGATTTCATCCTTCAACTTTTCTACAGAACCTCCAGGACCAAGTGCTACCGGACGTCAAGGCACACTACCATTTTCATCGACTACAGGAGTTTCCCCTACTACTACTGAGGATATTCGTCATTGATTCGCCATACAACAGTGCCTTGGCCCTCTCAAGTCTAGATCAGTCAGGCACCGTTACCAATTTTGATGCGTCTCGTACGATTTATCTAGCTTTCCCGGATGGATCACCGTCGCTATATACTACCAAATCACAAGGCACAGGCTCAGCAGGTACGGGGGAATCGAAGAGCCTGCAGAACCTCATCATCGACGGTGTACCCAAAGCACTTTCCCGTCCAATGGAGCGGTACACGGTGAAATCCACCAGCATAACGACTCGTAACCTAGCTGCGTTACTAGACATGAAGGGCCCAGGGCGTGGAAACGCTGCGGGTGGGGGCTGGTCAATATATGCCGATGAGAAGAATAAGCAGTCACCTTTAGACGCCATTCTTCCCACACCGCCAGGGTCAAGAGAACAGTCCGCGTCGACATCTAGTCGGAAAAGGGGTGCCCCGCTTACTCAATCCCAGAGGGACCGAAAACGAGCGAGGGCCGCAGCCCAGTCTAGATTTGGCGACTCGGCTTCTATATCAGATGGAAAGGGCATTGAGCGATTCGAGGTCGTTCTACAAGATCCATTTCCTGCCACCTCCCGCAACCGCACTGCCCTAGAAGCAAATCAGGAAGAAGTTTCGGAAGATGGTGAAGCTCAGAGCCGACCAAACCATCGGCGAAGCAAGGTAGAATCTGTTTTGCAACAAGCAGTCCAAGATATTGATGACGTGGACGACGTGAATGAAGTGGACACAAGCTTTTCGCATTGGACGCCAATGCTTAAGGTCACATTTAGTGGACCTCATGTTTTCGCAGGGATTCGACAACTCGTCGAGGCCGGAATCATCGATGGCAAACGAATGCCGGGGTGGATGACCGGAGAGGAAACGGTGACCAAAGGAGCCGTTCAACGGGGTCGAATAAGAGGCCAAAAAGGCTCAGGATTATGATCTTCAGTATCTTCTATTTATGCGCTTAATGATACCCCACTTGTATATCTATGTCCGTCTACCGTTCGCTTTCTAACCCAAAGACCTGGGCAGTGTTCTTCCAGGCGGCTTCACAGACTTCCTCGATAGAAACCTGTTTAATCCCTGCAACAATCTTCGCAATCCGTTCGATGCTGCAAGGTTCATTCCGGCCCTTGACCATAGCACCCTCGACCCATTTCTCCTTCTTCACAACCTTCCACCTCTCAGGGACTTCGGGTTCCTTCTTTTGGTTCTTCTTCTTCGCTGGCTGCTGCTTTGGTGGCTGTGCTTGCGCCTCTGGCGGGGCCCCATTCTGTGCCTCCTTCTTCTCGATGAGATACTTGTAGCCTTCGTGGCTAGGGCGGACCTCGCACCATGGCCCGTCAGTCTCGAGCATGAGCCTGTCCAGACGGACCTCCTTGACGACCTCACAGTTCTCAACGGTTTTGAAGCTACATCCGTTGATTCCAATGTAAAGGCCAAGGTCCATCAGCTCTCGCATTTCCTCGATGGTGCCGGTGAAGCTGTGCACCACGCCACCCTTCTCCAGTTTTTCCAGGTTCTGGCCATAGGCCTCCTTCAGACACGAAACAAAATCCCGGTGGGCGGCCCGCGAATGCAGGAACAGGGGAAGCTGGGGTTCGAGCGAGGCGGATACCTTGAGCTGCTCCGCGAAAGAGTGGAGCTGGATCCCCTTGGAGCAATAATGCAGTCTGTCGTAGTCAAGGCCGAACTCGCCAAACGCAACCAGATGCTGGTTGCCAGATGACCTCGCCTTGGAGATCAAGTTGGTCAAGTCGGAGATGATCTCACCAGACTTGGCCAAGTCGGGTTCGTGGTCATCCGGGATCGGTGCCGATGGGTCGGGATCACATGGTGCTGTGTGTTCAACCTCTTCAGAGACTGCTTTGGAGCTAAAGATGGCGCTGCTACAGGGGTGGATGCCAGCGGTAGCATAGGCCGTTCCAGCTGATATTTGATAGATTAGCTGGAGGGCCTTGTTTAGCTGGCTGACATCACTTACGGAACTCTTCAGTCAGAAGCAGTGCGTCCCGACAGCTTGCAAAGTCGGATCCCGTTATGATCATCTTCGTGCACCCTACTTCCTTGGCTCGACCAATGACAGCGTTGAGGTCATCAGGGTGAGACTGTTTTCCACGGTGCTTGCCGCGGAAAATGGGGTCGGCCAAGTTGATTCCGATCTACTTGACATCAAAAGAGGGAGTCAGATCGAGGTGAGCAATGAAGTTCAACAGTTCTTACATCAATATATCTGGGTTTATACTCTGGGTCGGAGAACCCATTGGTGGCAGCGGGTAGCGCCATGCTTGCAAAACCAGAAAAGCGCCCAAAGTGATTGATGCGAGAGAAGGAATTCCTAAAAGACGAAAGTGGTCGCCTTGCCAACATATAGGAGGAAGCAGGAAGGGGTCTAGAGTTGAGATTCCTCTGAATGAGTCACTACGGGGGGCTGAATCAGTTTCCAAATTGTAACCCAAGGCCAGCTGCGATTGGGCTAGTTAATCTGACCTGCAGGGCATCCTCAGCTATTACTGATTAAGATCACATCAGATCAAGCATTGGCTGGTGTTGCTGCCTGTGGACATAAGCGATCGATTTTCCATGTCACGTGATTAGGCCCACCTCTCGGGCTCATTACTGGGTGACAGAAAGCGTGGAACTGGCAATGAATTCTAACAAAAAACAAATCAAATTATCAATCCCGATAATGAACAATTTGTCCCAAATTTATTATTTCACCCTCGCGGCTACCTAGATAAGTATCTATTACTTTATAGCTGAGAAGTTTAGGTTTATATTGTGTGTATCAGTGACTGAGAGCCGTGCTATCGTGTGCCATGTTCAAGTGTTTTATGTCACCCGCTTATGGTGAACGCTATTTCCACTTCAGAGCTCTCACTTACGTTCTATAATGTCTCTTTCTAACCTCCTTAATAGCGGATACTCACATTTCAGACTGTCTACATATTCTTGTTAAAACTAAACCCAGTATTGATCTCAACTTCGTGGAGCACAACATTTCATAAACCTGATGATGTTTAAATCAAAAAGACGGCGAGGAAAGTTTCAAATAAATGAGAACAGCGAACCTAAAAATTACTTTACTTGTCTCCGATTCTTCCTTCAGGAAGAGAATCTGATTGAGAATGATGTATTCGTAGGTTGTGTCTGGATCAACTGCCAACTAAAATAGTCAACTGGGGTGTGATTCCGACCTTCGCGAGATTACCGTGGGCATCATCTCAACAGAACTACTTGTTTAAATGACCCGACTCACAGCCCCTCGAAACAGATGCTATCCGGTTCCGGTTGATCCCCCTTCTCGCCAGTTGTAGTGGGCCCCGACGCTCTATTCTGGACCTTGTCGAACTCGTCTCCAATCGTGATATTTTTATGAATTAAACAATTTCACTGTTAGGATTAGTATCATGTAAGAATTTCTAACTTCTTCTACCGACAGATATCTCGATTATCAAAGAGAAACCTAAATTATCGCTCCAACTATTCCAGATCCCTCCACAACCCAAGAGGTATAGGTTTTGGATTTCGCTTCCTTGACAAAAACTGCAAAGATTTTGTTTTTAAGGCCTATTGTTTCGGTCGAAAAGGGACGTCGAGGCCCATGAGCGATGTTGCGTTTTCTTAGCTTCTTTAATGCCCTCTTATACATGACGGTCCCTCTGATGGTAAGTTGCCATGCAATCGTTGGCACTTCGAGCTAGGAAGCCATACTGAGAATCCAGTACCGAGAGTATAGGAAGGATGGGATATCGTGCCAAACTCCTGCTTCATGTGTTCCTGTACGCCAACTGTACGGTTCAGCCACTCATAGCTCCCCCTAGACGATGATGTCCATTGAAAATAAACTATGAGTGAATCCCGCAAAAAATATCGCATAAACTTCAGATGAAATCGTGTGCTGAGGAAATCTTCCGTTCTAGTTTTCGAATATGGTATATCTCTCTCTTCGAGACACGACAGGCAGCAATGTCCCGCGTTTGGGGTTATCACACCCAGTATCTTATTTCATTTACAGAAAAGCGATGCGAAATTCATGATTGCCATGGCTCATATCTTGAAATTTAAAACGTTTTGGTTTGCATGATTGCAACAGAACCGAGGGCCTTCTTTGCCATCCCTGTCCCGTCATTGAAGTTTAATTTCACTCAGAGCAATGGCGAATATGCATCTTTTCCCTGTGGATAAGCTCCTGTTCAAGGTCATAAGCCTTGTAAAAGATCACTCGAGTAAGAGCCAGGTAAATCCTAATCATTGGAGAATCGATTCATGTGAAACTACCTAACGACTGATGATCTTCAAAATCCCTTCAATATAGACCTCTTCTTCCCACCAAGATTAGTGTCATTAAACTGAAGAATGATCTCAAGATCAGATTCACACATTGAGGACCAGCGTCGAAAACTTGAGTACAGAGTCTATGGCTAGATAGAAAAGACCATTTGCGTAAATAGAATCGTGAAATGTGGTCATGCTCACATACAATTAATCCGCCGTCGGATAAGGACTAGCAGGCAGTTCTTGCGCTGACATTAGGTACGTTTGTATATCTGCTTTCCCGGAACACTCTATAAAATTTCCCATTACTACACTTGTTCGTTTAAACAAATCTCAAAAATGAATACATAGAGTGGATTATTAACCTCATCATAGCTGTCATAGGACCACCCAAACCAAGGCCTCTGTCAAAACTGGAGTGTGGCTTCGTCCGCGAGAGCACCGAGCCAAATGCCCTCGTGGGGCGAACGACAGGACTGTCTTTGGATGCATCTCATGCAAGGGGTGTGCGTATACGGCACGTGCAAGAATTCGAATCCCATTGAGCCAGAGAAGGGAATCATGACAATGCAAAGTATCTCTCCACCTGCTATAGATGGTGGCAGGAACAGCAGCCCTGTCCATGCGTGGTGCTGCTTTATCAGCTTCTATGGAGACTGGCGCAAATCAATTAATAATCTGTCACGTGAGCGCGCGACGGCGTCGTCTCCACACTCATTAAGTGTCTGCATATCGGGAACGCGTTATCTCGATATTCTCGGTATGCAAGTTAAAGTGAATTTAAAGTGCAACGTTTAGAAATACGCGAACGGTTTCAAACGAAGAGGCCAGCGGACTTGCATGAATCCCAATCCCTCGAAATCGACATCGACCAACACGTCGCATCAGGCTGTATTTCACCTCAACCAACAGCATCACCACTCGGTATTACGAGTCCAGCGAGCCGAGACGTGGGGCACAGCACAAGCAGCCCGGGCTGATGCTAGAGTGCTTCCGGGTCGCCCCATTGAGTCGTTGCCCTGCTGTTGTCGCGCTAAAAATTGGCGTCGCGCGTCGTGGACGCGACTTTTACCATAAGAACCTCTCCCACCGTGGAATTGGGGCAATTTCTCCTTCTCATCCTCCATCAACCACCGCCACCACCAAACACGCCCACGCAGACTGCAACTTGACTACGCAGTTCTAACGCATCTCACTGCCTCTGCTGCATTGAGATATACAGAGCGTTGATTGTTTGCATCTTGTCTCTTCTACTGTCTGCCGCTTCTCCCGGCCGCATCCCTACATACACGTCGCCATCATGTATGTACGCAAGCGTGGTATGTTCCATCTCCCATTCCCTCTCCCTATACTGCCATCGATTGTCTAACCTCGAGACAACAGATGGACGCCAGGAGCGTGTCCAGTTCGACAAGATCACTGCCCGTGTTTCGAGACTGTGTTACGGCCTCGATACCGAGCATGTTGATCCTGTTGCCATCACCCAGAAAGTCATCTCTGGCGTTTACGGAGGTGTGACTACTATTCAGCTCGATGATCTTGTAAGCCTTCCCACCGAACTCAACGGCATTGCCATCATCTAATTATTCGCAAACAGGCTGCCGAGACTGCTGCATACATGACCGTCACCCACCCCGACTACGCAATCCTGGCTGCCCGCATTGCCGTCTCAAACCTTCACAAGCAGACTAAGAAGCAATGGTCTTCTGTTGTCAGCGACCTTTACCACTATGTCAACCCCAGAAACAACAAGCCATCTCCCATGATTGCCCAAGACACATACGAATGCGTCATGCGTCACAAGGACGAGCTGGACTCTGCCATTGTCTATGACCGAGATTTCAATTATCAGTACTTCGGTTTCAAGACACTGGAGCGTTCCTACCTCCTCAAGCTCAACGGCAAGATTGTTGAGCGCCCCCAGCACATGATCATGCGTGTTGCTGTGGGCATTTGGGGTGATAACATTGAACGTGTCATCGAGACCTACAACTACATGTCCAACAAGTTCTTTACCCACGCTTCTCCCACTCTCTTCAATGCCGGCACCCCCCAGGCTCAGCTTTCATCATGTTTCCTTGTCGATATGAAGGATGACAGCATTGATGGTATCTACGATACTCTCAAGACCTGTGCTATGATCTCAAAGATGGCTGGAGGTATCGGTCTCAACGTTCACCGCATTCGAGCTACAGGCTCGTACATTGCCGGTACCAACGGCACATCCAATGGAATCGTCCCCATGCTGCGAGTGTTCAACAACACCGCCAGATATGTTGACCAGGGTGGCAACAAGCGCCCTGGTGCCTTTGCCATCTATCTCGAGCCCTGGCATTCTGATGTCTTCGAGTTCCTGGATCTCCGAAAGAACCACGGAAAGGAAGAGATCCGTGCTCGAGACCTGTTCCTAGCCCTGTGGATCCCCGATCTCTTCATGAAGCGCGTTGAGAAGAACGAGAACTGGACTCTCATGTGCCCTAATGAGTGCCCTGGCCTGGCTGATTGCTACGGTGAGGAGTTTGAGGCCCTGTACGAGAAGTATGAGAAGGAGGGTCGTGGTCGTTCGACAATCCGCGCTCAGAAGCTGTGGTACTCGATCCTCGAAGCCCAAACCGAGACCGGTAACCCCTTCATGCTTTACAAGGATGCTTGCAACCGTAAGAGCAACCAGAAAAACCTGGGTACCATCCGCAGCTCCAATCTCTGCACTGAGATTATTGAATACTGCGCTCCTGATGAGGTTGCTGTTTGCAATCTTGCATCGCTGGCTCTGCCCGCCTACGTTGATTACGACGAGGGCTGCTACAACTTCAAGAAGCTCCACGAAGTTACCCGGGTTGTCGTGCGTAACCTCAACCGTATCATCGATGTCAACTACTACCCCGTTCAGGAGGCACGCAACAGCAACATGCGTCATCGACCCATTGGTCTTGGTGTCCAGGGTCTTGCAGATGCATTCTTGGCTCTGCGCATGCCTTTTGAGTCGCCCGAGGCTCGTCAGCTGAACAAGCAGATCTTCGAGACTATTTATCATGCTGCCCTTACTGAGTCCATGGAACTCGCGAAGGAGCAGGGTCCCTACCAAACTTTCA